CAAGTCGCAGTTTTAATGTGAAAATTGGGCTGTATTTGCCCCTTGCGGAATATTGGTCAATGTGAGATTGACACAGGAACACACTCTTACCACAGCCAAGTCGCAATTGTAATGTGAAAAACTGGCCGTAATGGCCACCTCTTGCGGAATATCTGGTCAATGTGAGATTGACACAGGAAGACACTCTTTAGATCCCTTTCGAATCACAATGTATAAAATTGGCCCGAATTGAGCACTTCATTAGGTTTGCTTAAACACTTCAGAAGTGGATTCGAACCCACGCCTCCAGGGGAGACTGCGACCTAAACGCAGCGCCTTAGACCGCTCGCCATCCTGACATGGAATTTGCACCTTTACCAGAGTTGACCGTTGGCTTGAATTAAAACCAATAAAAACATCAGGGCTTCTTCTGCACAGACCGCGCGTTGTCCAAGTATAATGTGCCATTGATTGTGTTGGGGAGTGTCAGCAAACTCCCTCTTCTCCCCGTCGGAATGAACCCGGTCTCCCTCGCGTGACAGGCGGGGATACTGACCACTATACTAACGAGGAACACAAACTAATTGAGCATTCCTCGTCATGAGCAAATACTTTCAGTTCCACAATTTTAAATATGAGGTTGAGACATGACGGATCCAAAACACCTGTAGAAACAGCATGGTGGTTCAGTGGTAGAATTCTCGCCTGCCACGGGAGGCCCGGGTTCGATTCCCCAATGCAGCATACACTTTACACCTTTGGTAGAATTCTCTTCTGTACCGAGGGAGGCCCCAATGCAGCTTCCGTCACAATGTGGCCGGGAATTGGAATCACAATGTAAAAATAGTGGCCCGAATTGAGGCACTTCATTAGGTTTACTCAAAACCTCTGTCACAAGTGGGATTCGAACCAAGTCCTCCAAGGGAGACTGCGATCGAACGCAGCCAATCGCAATTTTAATGTGAAAATTGGCCGTAATTTGCCACCTCTTGCGGAATATCTGGTCAATGTGAGTCGCACAAGTCTAAACGTGAGATTGACACAGGACAACTCACTCTCTATATCCCCTTCGAATCACAATGTAAAAATAGTGGCCCGAATTGAGGCGCTTCATTAGGTTTACTCAAAAACTGTCAGAAGTGGGATTCGAACCCACGCCTCCAGGGAGACTGCGACCTGAACGCAGCGCCTTAGACCGCTCGGACATCCTGACATGAAATTTACACGTTCACCAGAGTTGATCAATGGCTTGAATTAAAACATCAGTGGCTTCTTCTGCACAGATGCCGTGTTGTCCAAGTATAATGTGCCATTGATTGTGTTGGGGAGTGTCAGTAAAAAACCCTCTCCTCCCCGTCGGGGAATTGAACCCCGGTCTCCCGCGTGACAGGCGGGATACTGACCACTATACTAACGAGGAACACAAGTGCATTGAACATTCCTCGTCACGATCAAATACTTTCAGTCCTACAATTTTAAATATGAGGTTGAGACATGACGGGATCCAAAACACCAGCGAAAAAAGGCATTGTGGTTCAGTGGTAAATTCTCGCCTGCCACGCGGGTGGCCCGGGTTCGATGCAGCATACACTTTAGCACACTTAGTGGTAGAATTCTCTTCTGTACCGAGGGAGGCCGGCCAATGCAGCTTCCGTCACAATGTGGCCGGAATTGGAATCATGTAAAAATAGTGGCCCGAATTGAGGCACTTCATTAGGTTTACTCAAAACCTCTGTCAGAAGTGGGATTCGAACCAAGTCCTCCAATGGAGACTGCAATCTGAACGCAGCCAAGTCGCAGTTGTAATGTGTAATTCGGCCACCTCTTGCGGAATATCTGGTCAATGTGAGATTGCCACAGGAAGACACACTCTTTAACGCAGCCAAGTCGCAGTTGTAATGTGAAAACTGGCCATAATTCGGCCACCTCTTGCGGAATATCTGGTCAATGTGAGATTGACACAGGAAGACGCTATTTAGATCCCTTCCGAATCACAATGTAAAAAAATTGGCCTGAATTGAGCACTTCATTAGGTTTACTCAAAACCTCTGTCACAAGTGGGATTCGAACCAAGTCCTCCAAGGGAGACTGCGATCGGGAACGGCAGCGCAAGTGCGAAGTTTTAATGTGAAAATGGCCGTATTTGGCCACCTCTTACGTAATATCTGGTAAATGTGAGTCGCCGACAAGTCTAAACGTGAGATTGACACAGGGACAACTCACTCTCTAATATTCCGCCTTCGAATCACAATGTAAAAAGAGTGGCCGCGAATTGAGGCGCTTCATTAGGTTTACTCAGAAAAACTGTCAGAAGTGGGATTCGAACCCACGCCTCCAGGGGAGACTGCGACCTGAACGCAGCGCCTTAGACCGCTCGGCCATTCCTGACATGGAATTTACAACGTTCACGCAGCAGTTTGATCGTTGTCTTGAATTAAAACATCAGTGGCTTCTTCTGCACAGATGCCGTTGTTGTCCAAGTGTAATGTGCCATTGATTGTGTTGGGGAGTGTCAGCAAAATCCCTATTCTCCCCGTCGGGGAATGGAGAACCCCGGTCTCCCGCTGACAGGGCGGGGATACTGACCACTATACTAACGAGGAACACAAACAAAGTGAGCATTCCTCGTCATGAGCAAATACTTTCAGTCCTACAATTTAAATATGAGGTTTGAGACATGACGGGATCCAAAACACCTGTAGAAACAGGCATTGGTGGTTCAGTGGTAGAAGTTCTCAGCCTGCCACGCGGGAGGCCCGGGTTCGATTCCCGGCAATGCAGCATCTGCTTTAGCACACTTAGTGGTAGAGTTCTCTTCTGTACTGAGGTTGGGGCCGGTTCCGATTCCCCGGCGAATGCAGCTTCCGTCACAGTTGTGGCCGGGAATTCGAAATCACAATGTAAAAATAGAGCCCAATTGAGGCACTTCATTAGGTTTACTCAAAACCTCTGTCAGAAGGGGGATTCGAACCAACTGTGATCTGAACGGCAGCCAAGTCGCAGGTTGTAATGTGAAAATTGGCCGTAATTTGGCCACCTCTTGTTGAAAAAACTGGTCAATGTGAGATTGACACAGAAGACACACTCTTTACCACAGCCAATCGCAATTGTAATGTGAAAACTGGCCGTAATTCGGCCACCTCTTGCGGAATATCTGGGCAATGTGAGATTGACACAGGAAGACACTCTTTAGATCCCTTCCGAATCACAATGTAAAAAAATTGGCCCGAATTGAGGCAGTTTATTAGGTTTTCTCAAACACTGTCAGAAGTGGGATTCGAACCCACGCCTCCAGGGGACTGCTACCTGAATGCAGCGCTTTAGACCGCTGATGGCCGGCCAATTGAGCCCAGTTGTTTGATCGATTAAGAGGTAATGTGAAAACTGGCCATAATTCAACCACCTCTTGCGTAATATCTGGTCAATGTGAGTCGCACAAGTCTAAACGTGAGATTGACACAGGACAACTCACTCTCTATATCCCCTTCGAATCACAATGTAAAAATAGTGGCCCGTATTGAGGGCTTCATTAGGTTTACTCAAAAACTGTCAGAAGTGGGATAGAACCCACCCTCCAGGGGAGACTGCGACCTGAACGCAGCGCCTTAGACCGCTCGGGCCATCCTGACATGGAATTTACACGTTCACCAGAGTTGATCGTTGGCTTGAATTTAAAACATCAGTGATTCTTCTGCACAGATGCCGTGTTGTCCAAGTATAATGTCCATTGGATTGTGTTGGGGAGTGTCAGTATAAACCCTCCACTCCCCGTCGGGGAATTGAACCCTGGTCTCCTCCGCGTGACAGGCGGGGATACTGACCACTATACTAACGAGGGAACACAAGTGCATTGATCATTCCAGTACCGAGGGAGGCCGGCCAATGCAGCTTTCGTCACAATGTGGCCGGAATGTGGAATCACAATGTAAAAAATAGTGGCCACGAATTGAGGCACTTCATTAGGTTACTCAAAACCTCTGTCAGAAGTGGGATTCGAACCATGTCCTCCAATGGAGACTGCAATCTGAACGCAGCCAAGTCGCAGTTGTAATGTGTAATTTGGCCACGCTCTTGCGGAATATCTGGTCAATGTGAGATTGCCACAGGAAGACACACTCTTTAACGCAGCCAAGTCGCAGTTGTATTGTGAAAACTGGGCCATAATGTCGGCCACCTCTTGCGAATATCTGGGTCAATGTGAGATTGACACAGGAAGGACGCTATTTAGATCCCTTCCGAATCACAATGTAAAAAAATTGGCCCGAATTGAGGCACTTCATTAGGTTTACTCAAAACCTCTGTCACAAGTGGGATTCGAACCAAGTCCTCCAAGGGAGACTGCGATCGGAACGCAGCCAAGTCGCAGTTTTAATGTGAAAATTGGCCGTAAGTTGGCCACCTCTTGCGGGAATATCTGGTCAATGTGGAGATTGAACCACAGGAAGACACACTCTTTACCACAGCCAAGGTCCGCAATTGTAATGTGAAAACTGGCCGTAATTCGGCCACCTCTTGCGGAATATCTGGTGCAATGTGAGGATTGACACAGGAGACACTACTTTAGATCCCTTTCGAATCACAATGTAATAAAATTGGCCCGAATTGAGCACTTCATTAGTTTGCTTAAACACTGTCAGAAGTGGGATTCGAACCCACGCCTCCAGGGAGACTGCGACCTAAACGCAGCGCCTTAGACCGCTCGGCCATCCTGACATGGAATTTGCACCTTTACCAGAGTTGACCGTTGGCTTGAATTAAAACCAATAAAAACATCAGTGGCTTCTTCTGCACAGACGCCGCGTTGTCCAAGTATAATGTGCCATTGATTGTGTTGGGGATGTCAGCAAACTCCCTCTTCACCCGTCGGGGAATTGAACCCCTCTCCCCCGTGACAGGCGGGGATACTGACCACTATACTAACGAGGAACACAAACTAATTGAGCATTCCTCGTCATGAGCAAATACTTTCAGTCCTACAATTTTAAATATGAGGTTGAGACATGACGGATCCAAAACACCTGTAGAAACAGGCATTGGTGGTTCAGTGGTAGAATTCTCGCCTGCCACGCGGGAGGCCCGTTTCGATTCCCGGCCAATGCAGCATACACTTTAGCACACTTAGTGGTAGAAATTCTCTTCTGTACCGAGGGAGGCCGCCAATTGCAGCTTCCCGTCACATTGTGGCCGGGAAATTGGAATCACATTGTAAAAATATGGCCCGAATTGAGGCACTTCAGTTAGGTTTACTCAAAACCTCTGTCACAAGTGGGAGTTCGAACCAAGTCCTCCAAGGGAGACTGCGATGCGGAACGCAGCCAAGTCGGCAATTTTAATGTGAAAATTGGCCGTAATTTGGCCACCTCTTGCGGAATATCTGGTCAATGTGAGTCGCAACAAGTCTAAACGTAGATTGACACAGACAACTCTCTCTCTATATCCCCTTCGAATCACAATGTAAAAATAGTGGCCCGAATTGAGGCGCTTCATTAGGTTCACTCAAAAACTGTCAGAAGTGGGATTACGAACCCACGCCTCCAGGGGAACTGCGACCTGAACGCAGCGGCCTTAGGACCGATCGGAGCCATCTGACATGGAATTTACAAGTTCACCAGAGTTGATCGTTGGCTTGAATTAAAACATCAGTGGCTTCTTCTGCACAGATGCCGTGTTGTCCAAGTGTAATGTGCCATTGATTGTGTTGGGGAGTGTCAGCAAAATCCCTCTTCTCCCCGTCGGGGAATTGAACCCCGGTCCTCCCGCGTGACAGGCGGGGATACTGACCACTATACTAACGAGGAATACAAACAAATTGAGCATTCCTCGTCATGAGCAAATACTTTCAGTCCTACAATTTTAAATATGAGGTTGAGACATGACGGGATCCAAAACACCTGTAGAAACAGGCATTGGTGGTTCAGTGGGTAGAATTCTCGCCTGCCACGCGGGAGGCCCCGGGTTCGATTCCCGGCCAATGCAGCATCTGCTTTAGCACACTTAGTGGTAGAGTTCTCTTCTGTAGTGAGGGTGGCCGGTTCCGATTCCCCGGCGAATGCAGCTTCCGTCACATTGTGGCCGGGAGTCCGAAATCACAATGTAAAAATAGAGGCCCACGAATTGAGGCCTCTTCATTAGGTTTACTCAAAACCTCTGTCAGAAGTGGGATTCGAACCAACTGTGATCTGAACGCAGCAAGTCGCAGGTTGTAATGTGAAAATTGGCCGGAATTTGGCCACCCTCTTGTAGTAAAAACTGGTCAATGGTGAGATTGACACAGGGGAAGACACACTCTTGACCACAGCAGTGCGCAATTGTAATGTGAAAACTAGGCCAGATTCGGCCACCTCTTGCGGAATATCTGGGCAATGGTAGATTGACACAGAAGTCACTCTTTAGATCCCAGTCCGAATCACAAATGTAATAAAATGGCCCGAATTGAGGCAGTTTATTAGGTTTTCCTCAAACACTGTCAGAAGTGTGGACGTTGCGAACCCACGCCTCCAGGGGAGACTGCTACCTGAATGCAGCGCTTTAGAACCGCTGGATGGGGCCGGCCAATTGAGCCCAGTTGTTTGATCGATTAAGAGGTGTAATGTGAAAACCTGGCCATAATTCAGACCACCTCTTGCGTAATATCTGGTCAATGTGAGTCGCACAAGTCTAAACGTGAGATTGACACAGGACAACTCACTCTCTATATCCCCTTCGAATCACAATGTAAAAATAGTGGCCCGTATTGAGGCGCTTCATTAGGTTTACTCAAAAACTGTCAGAAGTGGGATTAGAACCCACGCCTCCAGGGGAGACTGCGACCTGAACGCAGCGCCTTAGACCGCTCGGCCCATCCTGACATGGAATTGACACGTTCACCAGAGTTGATCGTTGGCTTGAATTAAAACATCAGTGGATTCTTCTGCACAGATGCCGTGTTGTCCAAGTATAATGTGCCATTGATTGTGTTGGGGAGTGTCAGTAAAAACCCCTCTACTCCCCTCGGGGAATTGAACCCCGGTCTCCCGCGTGACAGGCGGGGATACTGACCACTATACTAACGAGGAACACAAGTGCATTGAACATTCCAGTACCGAGGGAGGCCGGCCAATGCAGCTTCCGTCACAATGTGCCGGGAATTGGAATCACAATGTAAAAATAGTGGCCCGAATTGAGGCACTTCATTAGGTTTACTCAAAACCTCTGTCGAGAAGTGGATTCGAACCAAGTCCTCCAATGGAGACTGCAATCTGAACGCAGCCAAGTCGCAGTTGTAATGTGTAATTTGGCCACCTCTTGCGGAATATCTGGTCAATGTGAATTGACACAGAAGACCTATTTAGATCCCTTCCGAATCACAATGTAAAAAAATTTGGCCCGAATTGAGCACTTCATTAGGTTTACTCAAAACCTCTGGTCACAAGTGGGATTCGAACCAAGTCCTCCAAGGGAGAACTGCGATCAGGAACGCAGCCAAGTCGCAGTTTTAATGTGGAAAATTGGGCCGTAAGTTGGGCCACCTCTTGCGGAATATCTGGTCAATGTGAGATTGACACAGGAAGGACACACTCTTTTACCACAGCCAAGTCGCAGTGTAATGTGAAAACTGGCCGTAATTCGGCCACCTCTTGCGGAATATCTGGTCAATGTGAGATTGACACAGGAAGACACGTCTTTAGGATCCCTTTCTGAATCACTATGTAATAAAATTGGGCCCGAAGTGAGGCGACTGTCATTAGGTTGCTTAAACACTGTCAGAAGTGGGGATTCGAACCCACGCCTCCAGGGGAGACTGCGACCTAAAACGCAGCGCCTTAGACCGCTCGGCCATCCTGACATGGAAATATGCACCTTTACTAGAGTTGACCGTTGGCTTGAATTAAAACCAATAAAAACATCAGTGGCTTCTTAGCACAGACGCCGGCTTTGTCCAAGTATAATGTGCCATTGATTGGTGGTGGGGAGTGTCAGCAAACTCCCTCTTCTCCCCGTCCGGGGAATTGAACCCCGGTCTCCCCCGCGTGACAGGCGGGGATACTGACCACTATACTAACGAGGACCACAAACTAATTGAGCATTCCTCGTCATGACAAATACTTTCAGTCCTACAATTTTAATATGAGGTTGAGACATGACGGGATCCAAACACCTGTAGAAACAGGCATTGGTGGGTTCAGTGGTAGAATTCTCGCCTGCCACGCGGGAGGCCCGGGTTCGATTCCCGGCCAATGCCAGCATACACTTTAGCACACTTATGGTAGAATTCTCTTCTGTGACCGAGGGAGGCCCGGCCAATGCAGCTTCCGTCACAATGTGGCCGGGAATTGGAATCACAATGTAAAAATAGTGGCCCGAATTGAGGCACTTCATTAGGTTTACCTCAAAACCTCTGTCACAAGTGGGATTCGAACCAAGTCCTCCAAGGGAGACTGCGATCGTAACGCAGCCAAGTCGCAATTTTAATGTGAAAATTGGCCGTAATTTGGCCACCCTCTTGCGGAATATCTGGGTCAATGTGAGTCGCACAAGTCTAAACGTGAGATTGACACAGGACAACTTCACTCTCTATATCCCCTTCGAATCACAATGTAAAAATAGTGGCCCGAATTGAGGCGCTTCATTAGGTTTACTCAAAAACTGTCAGAAGTGGGATTCGAACCCACGCCTCCAGGGGAGACTGCGACCTGAACGCAGCGCCTTAGACCGCTCGGACATCCTGACATGAAATTTACACGTTCACCAGAGTTGATCAATGCTTGAATTAAAACATCAGTGGCTTCTTCTGCACAGATGCCGTGTTGTCCAAGTATAATGTGCCATTGATTGTGTTGGGGAGTGTCAGTAAAAAAACCTCTCCTCCCCGTCGGGGAATTGAACCCCGGTCTCCCGCGTGGACAGGCAGGGATACTGACCACTATACTAACGAGGAACACAAGTGCATTGAACATTCCTCGTCACAATCAAATACTTTCAGTCCTACAATTTTAAATATGAGGTTGAGACATGACGGGATCCAAAACACCAGCGAAAAAAGGCATTGGTGGTTCAGTGGTAGAATTCTCGCCTGCCACGCGGGTGGCCCGGGTTCGATGCAGCATACACTTTAGCACACTTAGTGGTAGAATTCTCTTCTGTACCGAGGGAGGCCGGCCAATGCAGCTTCCGTCACAATGTGGCCGGGAATTGGAATCACAATGTAAAAATAGTGGCCCGAATTGAGGCACTTCATTAGGTTTACTCCAAAACCTCTGTCAGAAGTGGATTCGAACCAAGTCCTCCAATGGAGACTGCAATCTGAACGCAGCCAAGTCGCAGTTGTAATGTGTAATTCGGCCACCTCTTGCGGAATATCTGGTCAATGTGAGATTGCCACAGGAAGACAACACTCTTTAACGCAGCCAAGTCGCAGTTGTAATGTGAAAACTGGCCATAATTCGGCCACCTCTGCGGAATATCTGGTCAATGTGAGATTGACACAGGAAGACGCTATTTAGATCCCTTCCGAATCACAATGTAAAAAAATTGGCCTGAATTGAGGCACTTCATTAGGTTTACTCAAACCTCTGTCACAAGTGGGATTCGAACCAAGTCCTCCAAGGTAGACTGCGATCGGAACGCAGCCATAGTCGCAGTTTTAATGTGGAAAATTGGCCGTAATTTGGCCACCTCTTACGTATTATCTGGTAAATGTGAGTCGCACAAGTCTAAACGTGAGATTGACACAGGACAACTCACTCTCTATATCCCCTTCGAATCACAATGTAAAAATAGTGGCCCGAATTGAGGCGCTTCATTAGGTTTACTCAAAAACTGTCAGAAGTGGGATTCGAACCCACGCCTCCAGGGGAGACTGCGACCTGAACGCAGCGCCTTAGACCGCTCGGCCATCCTGACATGGAATTTTACACGTTCACCAGAGTTGATCGTTGGCTTGAATTAAAACATCAGTGGCTTCTTCTGCACAGATGCCTTGTTGTCCAAGTGTAATGTGCCATTGATTGTGTTGGGGAGTGTCAGCAAAATCCCTATTCTCCCCGTCGGGGAATTGAACCCCGGTCTCCCCGCGTGACAGGCGGGGATACTGACCACTATACTAACGAGGAACACAAACAAATTGAGCATTCCTCGTCATGAGCAAATACTTTCAGTCCTACAATTTTAAATATGAGGTTGAGACATGACGGGATCCAAATCACCTGTAGAAACAGGCATTGGTGGTTCAGTGGTAGAATTCTCGCCTGCCACGCGGGAGCCAGGGTTCGATTCCCGGCCAATGCAGCATCTGCTTTAGCACACTTAGTGGTAGAGTTCTCTTCTGTAGTGAGGGTGGCCGGTTCCGATTCCCCGGCGAATGCAGCTTCCGTCACATTGTGGCCGGGAGTCGAAATCACAATGTAAAAATAGAGGCCCGAATTGAGGCACTTCATTAGGTTTACTCAAAACCTCTGTCAGAAGTGGGATTCGAACCAACTGTGATCTGAACGCAGCCAAGTCGCAGTTGTAATGTGAAAATTGGCCGTAATTTGGCCACCTCTTGTAGAAAAAACTGGTCAATGTGAGATTGACACAGGAAGACACACTCTTTAACCACAGCCAAGTCGCA